CAGATGGGACTATCTTGGGGGCTTTAGTGTGGAAGACCACCTGATGCCCAATTCCTGCTATGACAGAGGACTAGGAGTGTGGCGGTGGGGAATTAACTTCCTGATAAAGGGTAATGATCATTTTCTGGGGTCCCTGGAAGATACTGGCTTGTGCATGGGCGTGGGCTTTATCTATGTGGGTTTCCATGTATTACAGTTCTGAGTCTACAAGTTTGGCAGTTTGTGTGTATTACCCTAGTTATGTTCCTCTGAAGCCACTATCAGTTCTCTATAAAAAAACAATCACAGAGGTATTGCTGCATGGTTACAGGAATATGTATATAAAAAAGTGGGGGGTTTCAGATGCAGGCTGGAGGCACTAGGGAAAGTGAGACGTTGAGAGGTGGTGCCGTCAGCTCCTCTCCCTCCCTAGAAGGCTTGAAGCTGTGGTCAATGTCTGCCTGAAGGTCAGGTCCACAGAGCCCAGGAAGAGGCTGAGAGCACAGAGAAGGGGCAGGGTCATGCTGAGCAATCCAGGGGAGGAATGGGTGAGACTCTCTGTGAACACTTACTGTCTGTGTTTGTGTCTCTCAAGATTGGGTCTTACAGAGTGTTTCAGACTATGCCAGTGACGATGAAGCCTCTTCAGGTAGGAGCAACACCCACAAAGACCAGAGGGTCAAATTAGGGCAATGCTTGGGTTATCCGCTACTTTGGACCCTGAGAGGACATAGGAACTCAGGAGGAAAAAAGACATTGCATGTAGACGTCTGATTTGTTCTTTTTTATATTAATTATAGAGTAGGAAGAGGTTTTATACCCATGGGATTGGAGCAATAGAAATTGTTAACTATCATTTCTTGCTTTACTATTTAAAGCTTTACATATTCTTTAATACTGCCCGCCCCCGGCTTTGCCATTGCAAAGATCAAATCCACTGCATTGTGACAGGACAGCACTACCTTTGAATTGAACACAAGAGATGTCTGGGTTTTGCACTGACCATTGTCTTCGTCCATTTCTGGCCACAACGTAATACCTGAGACTCTGTAACTAATCAGGAACAGAAATTTCTTTCTTACAAGGTTGAAGGTCAAAGAGCAAGGTGCTGCCATTGTGTCTCAGTAAGGGCTCCTGACTTCATCCTCAGCTCAGGGCAGAAGGAAGAAGAGCACCCCCCCACACACACACACACACATACGCCGGGTCAGTTGAGTTAAAGAATACTTGCTCTGGGCTGACTGGGGAGGCCCCAGCATCTTAGAGTTGTGAGGGCCAAGCATTACTCTGGGTTCATCTTGGCTTCCACATCTCATCCAAGTCTAGTGTTTGGAGTAGACTGTGTGACAGGCCATTATCCAGCTGCTACTGGAGACACTGCATAGCTGTACAGGCTGCCCAGAGGATGTGTGTTAGGGGATCCTGGGCTGGACACACACGCGGTCCTGCTGACCTCATCTCCTGGAATGCACTGGGCTCAGTGGAGGGCCTTTGGGCAGCAGGACTGGGCATCACTGTTCCCCTCAGATGCACTGCTTCAAACACAGCCTGTTCCCCCTCCAGTCATGTCTAGCACGTTCCCTGTCCTCAGGCCTGCCAATGTCCTACTTCCCAGTCCTCCCACTGCTCAGTGAAAACCCTAGCAAGTCCCATTTATTGATATGGCCAAGAATACACCTGCTGTGGACACCCTGTTGCCTCCTTGGCCGACTACCAGAATTTGAACAAATTAAATTTCCTCTCCTCTTGGGGTCATCTTTTCAAGTGGATCAGGAAACATGGGATTCTTGTGATGATTCAATATTTCCAAACTCCATGAGGTTACCCCAGACATATGGGGTTGGTCCACATTACCTTCCCAAGGCCCAACAAGAGTCCATGACACTTGTTCCCCATGTAAGTGATCTATAGATGTATTGCTGTGCGTGGCAATATGTTTTTTAAAGATTTATTTACTTACTTGAAAGGCGGAGTTATAGACAGAGAGGGAAAAACAGAGTGAAATCTTCCACCCTCTGGCTCAGTCCCCATAGAACCTCAATGAGCAGGTTGGGCCAGGCCAAATCAGGAGTCCAAAACTCCATCAGAGTCTCCCAAACAGCTGGCAGGGCCCAAGCACGAGCCATCTTACACTGCTTTCTGAGGCACATTAGCAGGGAGCTGGATCAGAAGTGGAGGAGCAGGGACACCAACCAGTGATCCCATGGAGGGGTCCCCACAGGTGGCGCTTGAACCTGCTGCACCACAATGCCAGCCACAGGTGGCAGTATATCTTTATCTTGGCCTCCAGAGCTCCCATATCAGACAATAATATGATTGGTAGATGACAAGGACAAAGGAAATGGACAAGAGTTATGAGACAAAATAGAGGAAGGGAAACACGAGGGATGGAAAACAATGAGTTGCACACATCAACCCAGTGGCTACCTATGGAGGAACAAGGTGATACTTCTTAGGCACAGTGATGGGAATCTGAGGCAGGAAGAAGAAGGCAAAGTTCAGAGATCCTCTCACTTATTACAGAGGTGAAGCCATCTAGGCCCTGGGATAGGGATATAGACATGGGGTCCAAGGTTGGCCTACATCATCCAACCAGCAGCAGGGATCCGAGTCCTCACCTCAAGTCTAACTCTCCCCTTTCCTTCTCTCTGCTCTGGTGCACACGGAAGGCAACCTGGCAGAATCTGAAAGTTATCTTGGCAGCGGCGATCTAGGGGTGAGTGATTCCTTTCATTTTTTTCTGATTCTCTTGCTTTCTTGCTCACAAGCCCCTGGTAATGCTTCTCCCACATTCCCACCTCACCACAGTGGATGATTCGCATCCTGAAGGACCTGGTGGCATCCAGGTAGTGGATGTCCTTGCACTGTGGATGCTGATCCAGTCTCTCTGCAGCCCTCCCCTCTCCCTTCATCAGCCCTGCCCTCACTCCTCACCCCCACACTGCACTATGAAATGGTGCTGAGGAACCCAACTGGCCCACACAGGGAACTTGGCCGGGGACAGGCAGGCAGGGTCCCAGTCTCAATGGAGGGAGGACTCCAGGAAAGTCTGACTCTGGCCTCCATGTCCCCCAGGACAGGGCTTTTCCTTAACACCTGGTTCAGAAAACATACTTGTCTCCTTCCAGCTGTCCACATGTTCCCTTGACGTTAACTACCCTGAAAGTCTACAGGACATGGAGGACCTCGATCAAGATCAGGAAATGTGAGTTTGGAGCAGGTAGACGGGGGTCAGGGAAGTAAGCAATGGACTCCATTGCTTCACATTCTTTGTGACACCTCAGGGAAGCCAACAAACTGGAGCCCAGAGGTGGAGAGGCTGCCGTTGATCCTGATCTGGAGAGTGATGAATGGATGTTCAGGATCCACGCAGGTGAGTGAAAGATATGGTTCCAGGGACACATCCCCATTCCATGGCAGCCCTTAGGGCTCCCAGGCTGAGCCCCCAGTAGCTGCTTCATCTGAAGGAAAGGCTGGAGTTGCTAGCAGGATTGGCATGCAAATGACTTCGAAGGGGGATGTTAGTTGTGTTGTTTCTGGGGAGAGCCCCCAGAGCTGTTGAACATCACCCACTACAGGGTGCATCCCTACCTGCACAGCCCAAAGTCAACAGGCAGCTTCACATGTGTGGGGAGATACTAGGGGTTGTCCCTGACCTCCTCCAACTCAGGACAATTAGCAAGAGGGAGAGACAGAGAGAGGTACCTATGGGTGTCCTTTTCACACCAGGAAGAGAGCCCACTGCACCCACTTTTGTATCCTTGTGGGTACCCAGCCCATGCTGACACCAAATAGGAGCCAGCACAGAACACAAGAGCTCCAGGCCTTTTGGGGACCTCAGCCTCCTTTCTTAGAGCCTTTTTTATATGTTGATTGCTTTATTTTTCTGGGTATAAAATTTCCTATGTACCTGTCAAATTCAAACACTTGGGCTGGCGCCGTGGCTCATAGGCTAATCCTCCGCCTGCAGCGCCAGCACCCAGGGTTCTAGTCCCGGTCGGAGAGCTGGATTCTGTCCCAGTTGCTCCTTGTCCAGTACAGCTCTCTGCTATGGCCCAGGAGTGCAGTGGAGGATGGCCCAAGTCCTTGGGCCCTGCACCTGCATGGGAGACCACGAGGGAACACCTGGCTCCTGGCTTCAGATCAGTGTGGTACGCCAGCAGCAGTGCACTGGCCGCAGTGGCCATTGAGGGGTGAACCAATGGAAAAGGAAGACCTTTCTCTCTCTCTCTCTCACTGTCCACTCTGCCTGTCAAAAAAAAAAACTAAAAAAAATAAAATTCAAACACTTGACAGCAATTCAAGGCAAAGCTCACTTCGAAGAGTGGCAGGAGCAGGGCCCAAAGCCCCTCTGTTCTTCTCATTTGTGCTCTAATCTATACTTCAATTACAAATACACATTGGCTGTATGTCTTCAAAAGAAAGTCTTCCATCACATGTTCCATGCCAAAATATACTAAAGCAATAATGGTGGGGTTTTAATGCCACAGAATAATTCTTTGCCAATAAAATCTCTGAGATGACTTTTACAGGGAGGATAGAAAGAACTTCTACAAGATTAGGGAAGGAAACCAAAGGCTCTGTGCAGTTGTCCATGATTAACATGCAGCTCACAGGCCCCAGACCTGTGGGGTAAGGACTGAGTGGGCAAGGTCAGGACTCCCATTCTGTGTCATCAGACCTCCTGCTCCTCACAAGACCCAGGGGAGTGGGCCTTGGATTTGTAATCCCAGGGGCCAAGAGACCTCCCCCTTCCCGTGCATCAGGTTCACTGCCAAAGTAGCCAGTCCCATGAAGGCTGCCCAGGTGAGTGCCTAGGGGAATTCACAATTGTAGGACATCCACACCCCATCCAGATGGGCCTCAGTGCCCCATGGCCCTGACTGCTGTGGAGTTCAGGACCTACGGTTACCTCCCAGGGCACAGGAGCCTGCTGAGAGCTGCACTCCCACCCCACTGTCCCCACCCCAGCCTCATCCCTGTCCTCCCCACTGACCCCTGCTCCTGTGTCTTTCTTGCAGACATCTTCAGCTGCTCGGAAGTCTGCAGTGTGGAGTCCTTGGACCCAGAGGAGCTGGAGCTTCCCACACCATCGGAAGCTTGAACCACACAGGAGGAGACACAACAGCAGCCACGGCCCTCCTCACCAGTCCTCTGCGAGCTTTATATTAAATTCTTTCACCTAGTACTAGTTGATCTTTACATGCTTTTCTGTAAAATAAATACATCATAAGAAAACACCTTTAGCAAAGGCAGAACTTAAAATGATCAGAGAGCAGTCACCCTAGGGAGTACCACCATCATCACTCCCTCGAGAGGAATCTCATTTGGTCTTCACTGAACAAAGTCACTGCCAGGTTGGCTGTTAAAATCTGTCCTTACAGTAATGACTTTCTAGGGTTTTTGTCTCATGTCTGTTCCTTCCTCTGGAAGGGATCATGGGGTTCATCTCACCCAAGATCTCTCACAAAGACTTGGATGCCAATGTTATTTTTCACCTAATGGCAGCTTGGATGGCACAAAGTTCTTGGCTCTTCTTGAGCATCTTAAATATTGTCTTCTTTTTCCTCCCAACCCAGACCAGCTGGATCATTTTCATTCCCTTCTATGTTACTCATCCCTGTATTCTAGATCTCTGAATATTTTTCATATAATTCCCAGATTTTACTAAACTATAAATGGCTTCACTCACTCAAAGTATGACCCAGTTTTCTGTGAAGGAGGAGTTTGAGAGCATATTGTCATTTCCGGAAACAGTCTGAATTATAATTATTAGCTTTAGATCACTGCATTGGTTTTTCCTCTTCCAGCAATCTCATTCATACACATGCAGGTATTCAACTTCTGGTATTCCTCTCTCATCTTCTGAAATCTTTGGTCAAGCTCCTATTCTGTATATTTCCTCTCTCACCTTCTGTTTCCTGAAAGGCACAGATCTGTTTGTGTTTCTTCTGGTTTGCATTTCACGGGTGATGTTAGTTTTTCCTGTTTTCCTCCTTCTTTCCTGAGTCTGCCCATTCATTTCTGAGCTTCCCTGATTCTTAGTATCATGTCCTTCCATGCTTGGTATCATTGTCTCAACCATGTCTCCCTCATCCTGAAAACTACCCCGCCGAGAACACAAATTACACAAAGATGGAAGTGTTTTCATGTATCAGAGAGTACTTTCTCTCTCTTTATTACTGATTCCTCCCTCTAGTACTTTTATATGGGGATGGGCATATTGCCACCAAGATTCTGGTTTTGTTCCTTTTAATAGAAAATTTCGGTTTTGGGAATTCTGCATGAGCAATAGGATTCAGAAAGACTTGTCTTACTTCACATAGCTTCTCTCAGTTGCTTTTGTGCAATGCTGAAAAACATGACACCTGATTTCTTGGCTCTGCAATTTACCATTATTCCATATGAGATTCCCCTCTGAAAACCCCTTTTTCAGCTTAACTGGATTATTGCTACTCCATAGGAAGGCCTGTTATATAAGGAAACAATGGCCCCCAACTTTGCAAATCTAGATTTATAAAATCCCTTTCTATGAAGAGTCAGTATCAGAATTTCTGAGATTATGCAGTTACTTTCTATGATGTCTACAAAATTCTTTTCTCTGAGTGACTGGTTAGCCTGTCTTTATCAGTCACCATTTCATTCATAGGATCATTAAGTTTTAGTTTTTTGGTTTCTTTGAATCACAAAATTTAGGAGCTTTTTTATTTATATTTGTGGCATTTGAGTTTAGAATTAGTAATTTTCACTTTACTTTTACATCAGTCTTATTTCAGAAAAATTTGGTTTCAGTTACCAAAATGTTTTTTAGTTAGTTAGTTTTAGTTAGTGAGTGCTATGCATTTTGAATCCCTTAGACTATCAAACAGGTACATGCAAGATCAGGTTCACCTAGGTCCACAACTCCAGCAGAAATGAGTTTTGCCAAGTTCAAGCATAAACAGCTGGCTTACCACAATCTCTTGTGTTTGACACAGAATGGCCAAGGATCATCCTTACTGATTTGCCCTTGTTGTCCTTAAATGCACTACCTTGGAAATAAACTCTCTAAGCAAAAGTACTCTTTGAATTTTCTTTGCTGATATATAAAAATTAATGTACAGAAAAAAAACCCTGTCATCCATATAATGTCATGAATCCATTCCTGAGCAAATAAAGATTTATACACACACACACACATACACCCCAGAACACACACACACTATAGGATGGGTGGCTTGGAAATAAATTGATGATCTTATACTCACAAACCAGGAGTTCATGAATGAACTCTGGCTCCCTGTAGCCTGGGGATGTCCTACTGCTCACTGTCCAGGGACACCCATTGGTGGAATGGCTGAGCCAGGCCCACAGCTGCATCTTTCTTTTTCAAGATTTATTTATTTATTTATTTATTTGAAAGGCAGAGTCAGAGAGAGAGAAACACACACACACAGAGAGAGAGAGAGAGAGAGAGAGAGAGAGAGAGAGAGAGAGATCCTCCATCTACTGGTGGTTCACTCTCCAAATGGCCATAACAGCTGGGATTGGGTCAGGCCAAAGGCAGAAGCCAGGAGCTTCATCTGGATCTCCCACGTGGGTGCAGGGGCCCAGGCACTTGGGCCATCTTCCACTGCTTTTCCAAGTGCATTAGCAAGGTGCTGGGTGGGAGGTGGAGCAGCCGGTCATAAACTGGTGGCCATATGGGATACCGGCATTGCAGGTGACAGGATAACCTGCTGTGCCACAACACTGACCCCCACAGCTGCATCTTAGCCCTGCCCCCCAACACACAAACACATACACATGGCATCGCTTGTTAGCAAAAGACAAGATTAATATCATACAAGCTCTTCAAGCCTCTGATACCCTACAAGCATGCACAGGTGATCTCTCCCCAAACTGTCCAGGCACCGGTTGGCAGGATTGATGGATGGCATGGTGTGCACCTGTGACTTCAGAAACATAGGCATGGCATGCAGAGGAGGCGCTGGGCTGGCCTCCTGATGCACTTGTGCATGATGCAGATAGCTCAGAGGCAGCAAGTCTAAAAGGGATAACAGTGGGTGGAACAGTGGATGGAACAGCCTCAGACACAGTGAGCAGGAGGCTAGAGAAGTAACTTCCTGGAAACACCTGGAAACCACTCCTGTTAAGCCTCTCATGTGCTTGGAGGGGCATTATGGACCTGTGGCTGGTTTACTGGCTATTCGAATGGGACATGTGGGAGACAACAAACCCCCACACCAGAGGCTGAGGATAAAGCATAAAAAAACAGGTAGAAGCACAAGAATGGGTCTAATAAAGGACCTTCTGCTGGTGAGTGGGTTATCTCCCTTGTTGGAGGGCACAGGGATGTGAGCTGTCTATGCATCATCTAAGATCAGGAGATAGGGACAGAGTGAGCATCTAGATCAGCCTTGAGTCCCCGGATCTCATGTCAACGAGATTTCCGGACGACTCCTGGTTCATTAATGGGAATTTGAGTGCTGCAAGGGATATGTAGCAAAAGTAACCTTTTGGGGCACATTCCTCCCTTGATGTATTTAAGGAAATGTGTGAAAGTACTGAATGAATGCTTAAAGACACATATATAACTTTATAAATACCTCTATGCTTTGAAAAATAAAATTTGGGGGCTCACTATGGTGTAGTGGGTAAAGTTTCTGCCTGTGGTGCCTGCATCCCATATGGGTGCCAGTTCAAGTCCCAGCTGCTCCACTTTTTTTTTATATATTTATGTATTTATTTGATAGGCAGAGTTACAGAGAGGCATAGGCATAGGTATAGGCATAGGCAGAGAGAGTGAGAGAGAGAGAATCTTCCATCTTGGGCCATCTTCCACCGTTTTCCCAGGCCATAGTAGGAAGCTGGATCGGAAGTGAAGCAGCCAGGTCTTGAACGGGCACCTATATGGGATGCAGGTACTTTAAGAGGTGACTTTAACCACTATGCCACAGCATCAGCCCCTGCTCCACTTCTGATGTAGCTCCCTGTTAATGTGCCTGGGAAAGCAGCAGAAAATGGCCCAAGTGCTTGGGCCCCTATACCCTCATGGAAGACCTGGATGAAACTCCTGGCTCCTGGCTTCTATCTGGCCCAGCCCTGGCTGTTGCAGCCACCACGGGAGTGAAACAGCGGATAAGATTTCTCTCTCTCTCTCTCTCCTCTCTCCTCTCTCCTCTCTCTAGAACTGCCTTTCAAATAAATAAATAAATCTTTTTTAAAAAAGAAAGTTGTAGCCGGCACCGCGGCTCACTAGGCTAATCCTCCACCTTGTGGCCCCGGCACACCGGGTTCTAGTCCCGGTTGGGGCGCCGGATTCTGTCCCGGTTGCCCCTCTTCCAGTCCAGCTCTCTGCTGTGGCCAGGGAGTGCAGTGGAGGATGGCCTAAGTCCTTGGGCCCTGCACCCCATGGGAGACCAGGATAAGTACCTGGCTCCTGCCATTGGATCAGCACGGTGCACCGGCTGCAGCGCTCCAGCCGCGGTGGCCATTGAAGGGTGAACCAATAGCAAAAGGAAGACCTTTCTCTCTGTCTCTCCCTCTCACTGTCCACTCTGCCTGTCAAAAAAAAAAAAGTTGTTTTTTACTTGTAAAGTTGAATCCTTCTTTCCAGGATGCTTCCCTCTCAAAGGAAGGAGGAAGTCAGGACAACCTTTAATTTACAAATGTGCACACCACAAATACATAAAACATGTATCATAGAAGTAAATACAGATAGAAACCAATCTGCAGCAGCCATATACCTGATGTTCACAACACATTGGGCTTACAAAACTAATATACACAGCCCCAAAGAGCTCATACAGAATTGGACACACACACTCAAGCTCTTCACAGAGGGGCCACTGAGCCCTCCTCTTCTGTGCTGGAAAGCATGGGGGTCAGAAACACCCAGAGACCCTTGCTGATAGTTCCATTGACCATGGGATGACACCAATCACCACGGACATGTCAGTGCATCAGCCCTGAAACCAGGGACCTCAACATCAGTGGATTGTTGGCCACTCTTTTCCAGAAAGAAAACCCACATTTTGAAAAATTGTGGCACTTAAAGACTCCCGGGTCAACAAGGGTAGGTGAAGCCTGGCCTCTCCCCCTAATCCGTGTTTCTGGGGAGGTTATCTTGTAGGTAGTAAACCTAGGCACCAGGTCAGATGGCATGAGGCTGGAGGGATGGTCTTGTCACAGTGCAACCAAAATGGGGTTGTTTGGGGACTTCTCAGAGACCAGGAAATGGCACAGGCCTGAAGGCTACACACTCTGGGAAAGCCAGCTCTGGCCAAAGCAGCATGTCCTAGAGATACTACCCAGGAGAACTGCAGGGCCAGCTCACTGACTCTCTTGGAAACACCTGGAGTCCACATGCTGTACGCCTCCCACACCTGAGGCGCTCAGGACCCATGGCTGACAACACCCTTTACTGACAACACCCCCATGTGAAAGATACCCCTCACCAGGTCACAGGCTGGATGTCTGGTCTGAAAGCCAAGGTGGATGCATAAGGAGACTGTCTATTTTAGGGCCCACTAATTATAGGCCAAGACACTTAGAAAAACTGTTAGACGTGTGTGCACATATATGTTGCCCATGGACATAGCCAGAAGACAGGAGCAAGGCGATGGGTCATCCCCAGTCCCCAGTCCCCAGGCCATTAATCTTTCCAGAAGTCCCTTGCTTCTACATTGACAGGTGGAAACCCATATCGTATCCACAAGAAAAGTTAAAACTCTTAGACAAATACACATTACACACACATCTGTAAATGTGTGCATGTACCGAACAAACTGCGGAGGAAGTGTACATAACTGTGTATGTACTCCTATTGGTCTACAGAACAGACAGTGGTTCCTTTAACTGTGGAGCTATATGGGATAATCTGACACTGCAGAAGGGAGGAATGTACTATGGCCATTATTTCTAGAGCTGTATATACTCAAAAATACATGCAAACATATATGTTTCCAAAGTAAGTAACAGAGAAATAAATCCATGAGTATTAAATCCATGATTCTATAACAAGACACTGTACATATACAAATAACTACACACACAACACTGGGGAGCACACACAATCTGACACACATAGACACATAGACACACGTATAGTCTATATAATCTAATTGTCCAGGCATTGGGCCCTCCACGTCTCACTGGCAAGCTTGGGGTATAACACACCTGGAGGCCCTTCACTGCCCATTCCAGGGCCCCTTAGTGCACACCAATCACCAGGGCCTTTCTACCAAAACAGCCATGACAACATGGATCTGAATCTTGGTGGAAAGATGGCCACTCTTTCCATCAAAAGAAAAACACATCCTTTGAATCAGCCACGAGTCTGAGCAACTCAGATGCCAACAGAACTGAAGCTAGCCCTCTCTGTGGAGAATTTCCTCACACAGAGAGCTATGTTCTGAGGCTGACTTGGAGGTAGTCCATGAAGACCTGAGTTCTGGTGACATAAGGCTGGTGGCACAGGTCTGCCACGTGAGAGTGCCCTGAGGATAACGTGGGACTTCCGAGGGTCTCCTTGGATGTTTATGGCCCCCACACTCTCGTACAGGAAAGGCGATGGTCAGCCAAGGGCTCCTATGACCTCAACCCAGGCAGGGTTGCACATTTCTGGCCCATGATTGGCAGGTTCTGTTCTGTATGGTATTCATAGCTAAAATAGTGCTCTTATAGAAATCCTGGCCTGGATACACTTATGAAAATGTACATAAACATTGAACAAACTCTTAAAGATATATACTTAACTGTCTGACTACTTGTACCACTCTATAAACATACAGAAAATGGTTCCTTTACCTGTATTCTTGCAACCAGGATGCTTCAACTCCCTAGGAGAAAAGAATGCATTAACATCATTATTTCTACAAATGTATACAAACACAAATATATACAAACATGTACATCACAGGAATAAATAAAATAGAAAAACATCTGATCCCACATGCATGAGAGTATAACAAGAAAGTGTACATGTACAAATAAGTTAGATACACAGCAAAGCACACACAACCACACACATACACACATTCACTTCCTTTGTCTAAAGGCCATTTGGCCCTCCCCTCCAGTATTGGCAATATTGAGGGCATACACACCCAGGAAATCCCTTCACTGCCATGTCCATGGTCCATGGCAACACCAATCACCAGGGACATGTCACTGAACTACCTATGGCAACAGGTAGCCCATTAGGGAGCTGAACGCTCTTTCCAAAGATGTCCACAAGAAGGAAAAATCATCTTTTAGTTAAGTCAGAGCTTAGACTCTCAACTGCTTAGAGTCAGAGCTTAGAATCTCAACCAATGGGTCTGGCAGCAGCTGACCTCTAAGAACATTCCCTCACACTGTGCTCTCAGTTCACCATGGAGAGAGTACACATCATGGCATCAGGCTGGATGGACAACCCTACCAGGAATGGACTTCAAGGAGGATGTTTGGGGACTTACAGAAGCCAGGCCCAGACCCTGAACACTATGCCCTATTACAGAGCTGGCTCTACCTATAACTCCCTTGTCCTAGAGGCCAATGTAGCTACCTAGAGGACGGGCTCACTGACTCATTGAGAAACAACTAGAAACCATGTGTCTTAGGCCTCCCACATTGAAAACCCAGGACTCTCAGCACCAGTGTGATCCTGGCATTCCCTGATTGGAGAAGGGCTTTCAGGAATAAAACAAAGCCTAGAGGACAAAAGGGAAATGACAAATGACCATGACCACTTGAAGTTTAAACATAACACAGAAGCAGCGTGAAAACAGCCAACGCTATGGGGATCATCTGTGCGAATGCACATACGCAAAGGATGCTGCCTGCCCATTAAGTGGTGCCCTAGAAACACGTGTAATTTCTGGGCTTCTTTATTTTTTTTCACTTTTATTTTACTTTATTTTATGTTTTTTATTCTTTATTATTTTTGACAGGCAGAGTGGACAGTGAGAGAGAGAGAGAGAGAGAGACAGAGAGAAAGATCTTCTTTTTTTGCCGTTGATTCACTCTGGGCTTCTTTAAATAAATGTTTAAAAGATACTGGTTTCAGCATTACCTACTATAATGAGAAAATCTGCTCTCTCTTTCTTGATCTCTCTTGCCCTCTCCTCCAGCCTGTTGGGTTTCCCCCACCTGACAATAAACATTTTCCCTTACTCTGGTGTTTGGTGTGTTTTGTGGTGACCTTTCATTGGCTCCAAAACCTGGGGCCAGACTCTGCCCTCAACCTTGCTTTCGTCTCGGGGATGTGAGCTGCTTTGGGATCCTGGATTTCTGCCAACCACAAAACTCAACCCCGGACTTCCCTCACCTCTGAACACTCTGCAATCTCCATCCACACACCAGCCCTCCAAATTTCCGAGGTAAGACAGGGAGGAAGAAGGATCCTCTCATTTAGACTCTACGGGTTATGGTTCTATGCAACTTCACCCCAAAGTCCTGGTACCAGGCACCACAACTCCTATGGCCTCATGCCTCTACAGACTCTGTGTCCAGCCAATAGCGGGTATGGGTGACGACTCAACCCCCTGTTTCCCTTCTATGAGTTATGTCCTTTGCTCCCATGGGTGCATGGGTAACGACGCCACCCTCTGTTCCCATATCCTTCCGTCAGATGGCCGTGATCTCAGGGATCCCCAATATCGGCCAGTCTGACTCTACGGGTCACCAGGAGAGCTTCTTCCCATGTTCTAGTTAATCCTCCTCTCGTTAGTCTGCTACCTCGACAACCAGTTCAAGATCTCCATCTGTGAGCATTCGGAAAAGTGGAAGATTTCCTATGTCCAAGCTTTCTCCTATCTCAGTCTAATCCTCCTCTGGCTCAAGTTCTCTGAACTCCCAAAGCTCGCTAAAAAGCCAAAACCCCTTTCTTTTACATTCGCTGCTCCGGCTCTTGCTGTCTCAATTGTACCTACCCCTCCTGTCCAGGAATTCCCACCTATCACAGAACTAGCCCTTGTCCAAAGTCTACTCCCCCTGCCTAATCTATTATCCTCCCTAACACCCTACTCCCAGAGAAGCAAAGGCAAGTTTGGGAGTGGGCTTGTCTCCATGCCATCACCCTCCAGCTCTCATTCTCCAAGGGGGCTTCACCCCTCCTGCTCCTGTTCCAATTTTACCATAAGAATAGCAAGGCAGTGGTGATTCCAACCTCCTGAGTTCTCCTGTCACCTATCCCACCCTTTTGATAGCTCTTTTGTTTTATCATGAGCAAGTCAGACAGGATAATCAGGTCTTTTGGTGGGTTTTGTCCTCGCCTTGTAACTGAATTTCAAGCTGACCTCGCCAGGTCTCCTCAATTCCTACAAACTCGATTTCCTGGTCCCAAGAGTGAGCATTTCCTAGATATATCTCTCCCAACCCACATGAAATAAAGATCAACACTACCAGACCTGCAAACCAGCCAGCTCACCAGGTTAATTACTATTTCCAGACATATCTCCTTTTCCCTAACTGCCCCTTGCTCTGTCACCTATCAGATTTCCTCCTTAGGAATCTCTGGAGGGGTGTCCATCTACTCTCATGGATATTCTGCCCCATTAAATCTAACATAATGACTTCTTGTCCCTGGCACATCGGCCCCAGCCCACAGTCACCCTTGGGACCTGTCTAGCAGCTGCCTGAACTTTTGATTCAGAGGCAGTCCCGAGTGGCTGACTGTTAACCAAGGCATCACTGGCCTAAGGTCTTTCTTGGGTAAAAAGAAAAGTAGACTCAAATCCAATTGGAATCTAAAAAAATGTCTTTGCTAAATAACAATCTCATGCATTAGAATTTGGTTCAACTGTAAATGGACATTGGGTTTACAAGAATTTCTCTCTTTGAATCTAGGAAGATTACTGCCTTTAAAAAAATAGTTGTGGCCGGCGCCACAGCTCAATAGGCTAATCCTCCACCTGCAGTGCCAGCACCCAGGATTCTAGTCCCAGTTGGGGCACCAGATTCTGTCCTGGTTGCTCCTCTTCCAGTCCAGCTCTCTGCTGTGGCCCAGGAGAGAGTGGCCACAGTGGCCATTGGGGGTGAACCAACGGAAAAGGAAGATCTTTCTCTCAGTCTCTCTCTCTCACTGTCCATTCTGCCTGTCAAAATAAATAAATAAATAAATAAATAAATTTATAAAAAATAAGTTGCTTTGTAACTTGCGCATCTTGTTTTGCAATTTGGTTTTAACAAGTTTCCAATGAAACAGCAATGGGTAAAGGTGGATTTTTGTGGTCTCTGGTTTAATGCAACTGATTTATAGATGGTTTTATAAAAGGAGTAGAATTCCATGTGAATGTAATTTTGACCATAATTCAGATAGAGGTATGGTATAATATCAGCAATTTCAGTCATCCAGGTGTAATTGCTAAATGTAAATTGGGTAAAGCAAATGAGATAAATGTGTCTAAATGTAAATATAGCACCTTATATTCTATGCAAAAACTACTTGAGTTTGCTAACATGTTTTCATAAATTGTCTATGAAAATAGTCCAACATTGCTTGACAGTAAGGTTAGATAGAATATGATATGTTATCTTATTTTGAAAATGTTGTCTTAACTGGAGATTTCTAAAGGGTTATTTCAAAATATAAATCAAGGAAATCAGCAGGTGGAAAGCAAAAACTATTATTTGACATGGAACTAGAATCTGATCTTCTGTTAAAGCAAGGAGGCTTTTATAATATTTTGAAATTGTCTTAAAAATCTGTTTAGAACCTGCAGCATCTCCTTTTAATAGTTTTGTTTAAGCACTCTGGCCTCAGAATCAACCCTTAAGGCATTTGGATCTGGCTGAAGAGCCCATGGGAGTATTTTAGGCATGGAAAGCCAAGATACTCTGGCAAAACAACAACAACAACTAAAGGAAAGATCTCTGCGAGTGAGATCCCAGTGGAAAGAACGGGCCATCAAAGAAGGAGGTACCTTTCTCTGAAGGAAGGAGAGAACTTCCACTTTGACTATGACCTGGTCTAAATAAGATCGGAGTCGGCAAACTCAAAATGCTTCCATAGCCTTAGCAACTCATGACAAGAGCTTAGGGTGATTACTGATGCCATAAACAAGAGTGTCAATTTGTTAAGTCAACAACAGGAGTCACTGTACACTTATTCCTCATGTAGGATCTCTGTCCTTAATGTGTTGTACATTGTGATTTAATGCTATAACTAGTACTCAAACACTATTTTACACTTTGTGTTTCTGTGTGGGTGCAAACTGTTGAAATCTTTACTTAATATATACTAAATTGATCTTCTGTATATAAAGAGAATTGAAAATGAATCTTGATGCGAATGGAATGGGAGGGAGCAGGAGATGGGAGGGTTGCGGGTGGGAGGAAAGTTATGGGGGGGAGCCGTTGTGATCCATAACTGTACTTTGGAAATTTATATTAAATAAAATTTTTAAAAAATAGTTTTGTTTAACTGGTGACTCTCAGTTTTCAAGCCAGCTCCAGTAAGCTATTCTCTCTTCCCTAGTTCTGACTCTATTAAAACTCTTCCAAGTTATTGGATATGATCCCATGCACTGGCTCTTAAATTTAACATTTTATTTCTGATTTTTGGAATGACCAAAGACACAGATTTTGTGTTCCATTGAAGTAATCTATTGTGCTCTCTTAATATCTTTGTTAGGTTCGAATTGTTTTACAACTGAGTTTTTTATTAAGAGTTTTGGTTTGTTTAAATATGTTTACTCTAAAACATCTGAGTAATCACCTTGTAACAGTGATCAAATCTGGTCTATATTATGTCATGATGTTAAGGGATCCTATTTCAACCAGATATTTTAAGCCTTCTTGGCATCCTTGACAGGTATTCAAAAAATCAAAGTTCCAAATTCTCTGGACTTTGATATTT